GCAAGGAATATTCCCCAATGCATTCTGTCCTGTGCCACCCAAATCCCCCTTCTCAACAAAAGCACTTATTCTCAGCAGCTGACTGTCCTCCCCAGGAATTGCCCTCAGCTGAGGAGAGCCACCAAACCAAAGTCCATGCAAGATTATGGTGCCTCCTTCCACCAGCCCTAACTTGGGATAACTCTGAAGGCCGACCCACTTCAGAGGGCTGGGCAGGCCTCTGTGGAGACTGCATCACAGCTCTCCCTCTGCTGACTCTTAACTCACTTCCCTTGTTTCACCGTTGTTATTCCTGAGAACAGTCCCTAATAAATTCTTTGTTCTCCCATGTCCATCTCAGAGTCAACTTCCCTGGGAGCCCGATCTTCTATAGCTTAGTAGGTTTTTTCTGGACCTGAAAGTCAACTAGAGTTTGACTAAATCATAACTGAAAACAATTAAAGGTTATTGGGAAAGGTCTTTATGTTTGTTATGTTTCTTAATATTTTTATTTAAAATGTTCCTCTATTTAAATAAAACGTGATACATACTACTAGTTAACATGTGAATATCGATACTTTACCCTCTTATATAGTATGGAAAGAAAAAAATCATTAAGAGCAATGACAATATGCTAATCCAGGTTTTCTAATAACTACCCTGGGAAGCAAGCAGATCAGACTGCAAGACCATAATCTAGGCAATACATGGAATGTTTTGGATATGTACATTTACCAGAGAGAGAGAGAATCCATAATCTTCATGATTTTCTCAAGGGAGTCTGTAATACAAAGAAGATTAAGAAATTGGAGCATTGGTTCCCAAACTTTCTTAAGAATCATCAGGTGGGAAAATCTCTGTGCTTTGTCATTAGAGTTTCAGATTCCATAGGAATGGAGTGAGGCTCAGATTGGGGTGAGGCGCAAAATCTTTCTTTTCAATAAGTTCTCCAAATGATTCCAAAATAAAATTCAGTGGACCACAATTTGAAAAATGCCAATCTAAGGACTAAAGTATACTTCTACATTAGTTTTCTATTGCTGATGTAACAAATGACCATAAATTTAGAGGCTTAAACAACACAAATTCTTATTTTATATTTCCATAGGTCAGAAGTCTGACATGGGATCTTAATGGGCTAAAATCAAAATATCTGCAAGGCTGTGTTCCTTTCTGGAGGTTCTTGGAGAGAACCTTCCTTGCTTTTTCCAGCTTCTCAAGACCATCCACTTTTCTTCTCTCCAGGTCCCCTTCCCCCATGTTCAAAGCCAGCAATGTTGCATCTCTCTGAAGTTTCCCAAAAGTCAACTCATTCTTCAGAGTAAGATTTCCTTTTGACTCTCCTTTTCTGCCTCCTTTCAATTTTAAGGTCACTGTGATTATACTAGACCCACCCAAATAATATGAGATATCTCCCCATCTTAAGGTGAGGTGATTAACAACCTTAATGCCATTTGGAGCATTAATTCCTCTTTGCTAGGTAATATTCACAGATTCCAGAGATTAGGACTTGGGCATCTTTGGAAGGTCATTATTCTGCCAACCACAAGTTCCTTTAGAGTGCCCAGGAAAAAAGACTTTTTTTTCTTTTAACCTTATGTTTAATAAATCAGTTAATGAGCCTTCTATCACTTGCTGTTATATAATTATCTGGTCAGTAGAACTAATAATCACTGGGAACTACTGAACTGAAACTATTCTTTAAATTTCTGTTATCAATGAATAGCACCCAGTCACACCCACAGGCCTGGAAGCTCCTTCAGATCAGGCACCATGTGTTGTCTTTTTTATTTTCATTTCCTGCAAGCAAATAGGCATACAGATAATGTAGCTGAATAATTGTGATGGTTGATTATGTTCATAAATTAACAAAACCAAATGCCCACTCTCTCTATTAATGACTCTTTTCCACAGAGCAGCTCCTAGACAGCATGATTCAGATTCTTCGACACATCAAACTTACCAATTGTACATATCATGAGTGTTTGGTGCTATTCTCAAACAAGCAAAGCCATTATTATTTAATTCCTGCAATCCAAGAGTCTAAAATATTATGCTTATTTTAGGTAGCTAGCCATCAGTAAATTTTAAGTAATTCTGCCCTATTGGTGGGGGGAGAGGTAGTCTCTTAACAATTAATTATGTACTATTATTAACAATGACAGCAACTTCCATGTGTTAGACCCTACACTGGATTTTGCACACATACACAAATACACACATTCCCTCACCAATCTAATTTTTGAAGACATCTGTAAAATAAATACTTCTTCATTTACAGTATCTAGGCAGTGATAACCAGAATTCCAGACTAAGGAAGCAGAGGGATAATAGCAATCTTTTATCACATCACTTTTCTGGCTAAATACCAATATACATATTACTTAATTTCTGGTCAAAAATAAAAGCTAAAAAATGTTGTACTGTTCTAAATCATTACAAGCTCAATTTGAATCGCACTATCAACAAGTCACTCTCAGACTTAGACTGCTTTTCACCCTGCACACATACCCCGTCGTGCACTTAGTCACATCCTCTACTTTAAACTTTCAATAGATTAAAACTGTATTTAGAATAAAATCCAAACCTCTTTCTGCATCTCACCAGGGTACCCATAATTGGGCCCTCCCTCTACCTACAGCTTCCCCTAACCCTGCTCTCGTCCTCACTAGCTTGGCTGCAGCCACACTGGACTCCTTTAGGTACTTCAGACACAAGCTCTTTGCTGCCCTGGGGTATTTTTCCATGCCGTTGTCTTCTCTTCCTATCTCTTTGCCTGGGTAATGTCTCCTCATCCTTTAGATCACAGTGTAAATACCAGTTTTCTTGAGTATTCTAACTAAAACAGATCCTCGTCGCCACCCTGCCATTATCTACCAGAGCATCCTTATTGTTTCCTCCCAAGCACTTAGTGTGATTTGTATGTATTAGTTTGCTTGCTTGTTTATTGTCTGTCTCAGTGTGGGGATGTACATTCACTGCCGTATGCCTTGCACACAGCATTGTGTCCCATATTCAATAAATATTTTTTGGAACAATTTTTTTCTCAAACTTAAGGTATGAAATTGCACTGGTATATTTCTGTGAACAGATTTCCTAGAACATGAATGATCTAGAACCTTATGCTCTGGTCACGTTGTGTTTTCTGAGCATCTTTATTTATTGCAATATATTTTTCGTTTTATTTGTCTTATGTTTAGATGCACATTTAAGGTATTCAAACTAAAGAAACAACAACTAAAGAAACATTCACAATTCAAAATCAAGGATCTGCTCTGACATGTATTTTAAAGGCATATTGGGTGGGGGCCAACCTTCTGCATTTTCAATGATTCCCAAGTGATTCTGATTCACACCAAATTTTGAGAATGCCTGCTGGAGTGTATGTGTAGTCCTGTTATATGTCTACATGTATCTGCTCCATTTCACCAGATCTAACCCCTTGCTTAATCCAGGCTTGAGTATTTGATGCCCTTAGGTACTTTCTGAGTTGGGTGTTTGATGAGTACATAATACTTCTTTTATGCCAGCTCTTTTATCTCTTGTTCTACTCTAGATGAAGCCTTGTTCTTTTAAGGTGCTTTGATGCTGACATCCTGGGTTTATAAAATAATTAGGAATAAGGAATATAAGGTATAATTTATACAATTATCTATTCTGAAGAGTTTGAGAGTTTTCAGATCACTGAACATATAACATTTATAGTAATTGTTTTAAAATAAAACTAATAAAAGAAAGCAAAGGTTTTTTTTAATTAATTTGTAACCTTGCAAATATAAACATTTGTTATAAGTAAATGTCGGTTTCCAAATTTGTGGCTATTTTCTTGTTCAAAGGGCTTATATATTGCTTTTGTTAATATATTGAAAAAAAGCCATGAACTAATTATTGCCCTTGAGAGGCAAATTTTACATGATGCAATCATGCACAATTAGGAATTTTGAGATATAGTCCATTCATAAAAAAACAATCTAAAATCCCATTTACTTCTTATTTTTCACAAGTTTTTTCCCTTTAAACGTTTTATGCCATAGACATATACAGAAAAATATAGTGTATTATGTAGTAAAAGCAAACCTGCTATATTAAGATTATATTGTGCCAGGTACATCTTCGAATCATATTTATCAATGTTCAGATCCTTTCTTCAAAAAACAGCCAATGTGGTGCTAGAAAGAAATATTTGTAACATTTCAGACACTTATTTTTCCTTAAACATACATCAAAGTACAAATTTATAAACACTTTATTTGGACTGGAGTTTACACTCCTTATTTAAATGTGAGATGGACACAACTTTTTACTTGCTAATCTTTCACAACTTTGCTTATTTTGGAATGAGTGTGTGAATATTTTGTTGAAATTTGTTTTGCGCACAAAGTACATTCCCCACACTCCTGAAAAGAACACTCTCCTACCGAGTTTGCCAGATTTGAGCTACAGAAGTGGTGCTCATAAAATAGACAAAAATGTGGCCATTTTATTTGTGGTGTAAGTGACCTGAGAACCTCTGAAGACAAACTCTCCAAGACCTCTTTCTGTCCAGATTGTAAATGTCAAGTTTAGTGCTACCGCTGCCTGTTTTAAGAAATGTTAGTAATCTTGATTTAGATTCATCTGCCATTAATGATGTTCATGTTTACCTGAGGTTAATATCACTCTTTAATGCTGAGGAAAATAAGGAGTGTACTTTCCTTATCTCACATGTGCTTTAGGCAACTGAGGACCCTCCCTGACCACCTCCCTCTGCCCTATCGTAACATTTTCAGAGGTGAGATAATTTAGAATGCTCAGTGGAGAAAACAAAATTCATTTAAAAAATAATAGTTCCAATGTTTATCATGTAAACATATTAAATCGTACTAAACCGTAAACACATTTGAAAGTTCCCTCAGCTACTCAATTAGTACTTTTAGACAACCTACAGTGTTGAACAGTAATCTATTCTGATATAAATGAAATAGCTTTCACCTCCCTAGTGTGCTGAAATTCACATTTTGATGGGCTTTTGATGTTCCTAGATATCCGTGGAATACAGGAGTTTTTGGACAAAGTATCTCAGCAGGGGATGGATGTTGCACTTCAGAAGGTAGAAAATAACATCAATAAAATGATCACCACTCTCTTCGATACCATGAGAATAGAGGAATTGAATCGCTATCGAGACACTCTCAGGCGAGCCATCCTTGTTATGAATCCTGCCACAGCCAAATCCTTCATTACTGAGGTAAGTAAAAATTGTCATAGGCTGGGGATAGGGTGTAAAAATTAAATGCTTTGGCATAGACTCCACAGAGGAGATGAAAATTAAGAGCAGTGCAAGGGAATTAACTCCACAACTCTCATTAGCACTAATGGAGTAAATTCCTCACTCATTGCATTTACCGCATACTGTCCAGTTAATTGGTGAGAATGTTTGTATTTATATATATTTAGGCACATAGCCAGGATGATGTTAAGAAATCCGAAGCAGGTTTAAAAGTGGTGTTGACCTGAATGAATGTAACAAGCTCAAGAATGAATTCACAAGTGCACAGTTCTCTAACTAATCCTTAAATTGTTTTGCAAGTAAAAATTTTGCTTCTGAGAAAAGATTTATTTGAGTCAGGCTATTATTCCGTAAACATGATTACTCTTACAAAAACATATAGCAGATTTACTTCTGCTCTGTGAACTTTCTACCAGGACAAATAATTACAACTGTCTGAAACTCTGCAAAGTGATAACCATTGTACATTTTTTGATGCTGCATCCTCAAATTTTTAATTGTATCTGTTCATTTGGCTAAAAGCTCTGAAACTTTGCAAAAATACAATTAAGACTTTTTAATGATTGATATAACATCTCTGTGGTCTAAAATGCTTGCTGTTGCCTTATAAAGGATTATTAAGTCATTTTTGCCTTACTTCAAGTTTTTAAATTTATATAGTGCTAGAACTAGTCATGACATTACATACTTTCACATGGGTTTTATTATTAGTGTTTTTCATTTTGGTGACTATTTGACTAATACTTTTTTCCTCATTTCTCTATTATGCTTTCTTTAGCTCCCAAAGTACTGCTATAAAGCCTCCAAATCAGGAATGTGTTAGAAGTTCTTTGACACTACTTATATTATCTCACATTATATTAGTGTCTAAGAACTCAAAGCAGAATATAAATCACTAAGAAAAATAAAACTTTTTGAAAACCGTCAATAATAACAAATTTTTATTTTAATGGAAAACTTTGTTACACAGTTTAAGAACAAATATAGAACTTTGACCTTTTCTAGTCTAGCAAATGATTCAAGAGAGTCTCATTGAACCACTAGGTTTTTCCACAATAGAGAGAATATTTCCAATTTTATAGGAGTTAGTGCTCTCCTCTAAGAAACACAAAATCTGCTAGAAGATTGAAGGCAAATATACAAATGCATCTAATAGATATTAGAATCTTAAAATTATAATAAACTAGGTTGAAGCATCTGTGGTTATTTTTGACTGGGAATATCAGAGAAGGCTTCATTGAGAAGGCACATTTGAACCAGACTTAGTATCATGAATAGGGATTCTCAAGAGGGAAGTAGTATGTGACTTACAAATACAGTCCATCTTGGCCATTTGCTGGTCTTGTGGTGTTGGCAAATTTTACTTAGCATTTCTGAGCCTCCATTTTGTCATAAGTAAAATAATTATTAATCAATAATAATAGTATATTGATTTTGACTTATTAAATTTGTAGTGTAGATTAGTGAGATATCCTATAATATGTCTTAAAGGGTAGCGGGGTAGCACCTAGTAGATACTCAAGAAATGGTAACTTCTAGATCACTTTTTCTAGCACATAGTGCATACCTGACACATAGCAGGTGCTGTGGCCCGCTGTCCTTGACTCTGAACTTTGATACGTCGTTCAGTATCTAAGATAATCTACTGCTTCCCTCTTTGTTCCAAAACACATAAAATCTACGTTTGTGATTTTCCTGGGAAACTTCGCTCCCTTTCTCTACCCAACCAGCATTTTTTTTCCCACTCACTCATCTTTCACAATCACTGATTTTACGTCTCCAAACTGTGAACTAAGTTTATGCTACAGTCTCAAGTGGTGATGTAGGAATGACAGAAAGAACGTGAACTGACCCCCTTCCCCAGGCTACGCTGGCTGTACTGTTCTTTGACCTGCACAGTGGTTCCTGTTGCTCAATGAGCTGTTCTCAAACACCTCCCAGCTTGCTTCTGCTCTCCCATGGGTTACAGGAACATTTCCCCACTTAGGGAATAGGCTGACCCCTTAAGTGTTAGAAGCAGTTCATTCAAAAGGCAAACAGCACTGAATTCAAAAGGGAGGCAGTGCTGAAGGTCTGGAGACACAAGGAATAGTTCCTGACTGAGAGGATCACTTCGTCTATGGTAGGAGGCAGGCATGTGACTAATAAAATGCGAAGGAAAAAGCTGTGATAGTGATGGGTAGATGCTGCTCTGGAATCCCACAGGAGAACTGACTAACTCTGCAGGGAATTTGACTAACTCTGCAGGGCATTTGGGGTCAGGAAAAGTTTCACAGAGGATTTGCTTTACCAGGATCTTGCAAAATGAATACGAATTCATTAGGCAGACAATGACAGGCAAACAACAATTTGGGGTGTGTGTGTGTGTGTGAGGGATGCATGGACAGAGTTTAAAAAATCAAATACCCCTGAGGGTTTTATAGTGAAAAGCAAGAATCCCTTGGTCTACCTCTTTCTACCTCCAGTTATTCTTTTCAGCAGGAATTACTCATTTTTAATTTTTAAAATGTAATTGATATTTACTTTTAGAATATTCTATGCATTCACATCTTTCAAGATTTAAAAGGTTCAAAATGATAGCCTCCTTCCTTAAGCACTTGATTTTTTTCTCAGGAGGCAGTGTATCTTGTGTGACATTCCAGGTATATACCTACACCTTCACACATACATATGCATATAAGCATACACACACACACGTACATGCTTTTTACTCTTTTTTACACAAATAGTGGTATACCAGGTATAAGTTCTATGCCCGGATTTTTGTTATTTAGTAACATCCAGGAGCTCTGAGATATATGAAGTGCTCTTTCATAATTTTTTAATGGCTGCGTAATATTCCATTGATAGAGTCACTCAGCTCTTTAATTTTTCTATTTTTAGATACTCTGGTGAGTATTATTGGTTGACTTATTACTTTATCCTACCTATTTCCTTTCTGATATGATAAATGAAGATTTAGTTCATTTGTTTCACCAATACTCACACCTCCTCTCAATATAACTTAATTTAAATAACTTTGAATAACATAGCCAGGGCTTTACTCCTATACTGTCCACTCTAGGAGAGCAGAGTGTCTCTAAGGTTCTCTCACCACTTTTCCACTCTTCTCCCTCCCAACTTCCATGGCCTACAGCTTTACTTTTATATTGGGTGTGTTAGAATCATAATCATGTATTTTCTACTTTGTAACCATAAATAAATTTTTCATGCTTTGACTAAAAGTTGATTCTATAGATTGGAAATGTATAAATGTGCTTATATTTTTGTCACTATAAATATTTTTGCATGCACAACAAAGTATTAAGATATGATTTTGTTGAGTTTTTTCCCTCACTCAGCTTCAGGTATTTTGTTTGAGTTATTACTTTTCTTACTTTTTTCTTCATTTTATCTTTGTTGGCTACTTAAATTCTAAATTCCTGTCTTTAGTAGCAAATCTCCAAAATCCCTGTTTCCTGCCTGGAGCCTTCCCTCCCAGAACCCTGTCTTTCCTGCACTATTTCTGGCACTTCCTTCATCACTCATCTGGGTCAGATATACGAATTCCTAGATTCCATGTCTTCTAGTTTCTTATTTTGCTGGAGAATATCCTCAAATAACTTCCTAAAGAATGGTATGTGGAAGGTAGAATTTATCATTCTTTTCATTTATGAAAATATATTTATTCTAACTTCATCCTTAATGAATGAGTTGGCTAATTACAAATCCCTAGGGTAAAAATTATTTACCTCAGAACATTGATAGCATTAATTTATTGTACCCTGGCACTCAGTCAGCTGATGAGAAATCCACTGGATGTCTGATCCATATTTATTTGAAGGTGGTTTGTTGATAACACCTCGAAACCTTTTAGGAACTTTAATGTTTTAAAATTTAACAATTATGTGTCTAAATGGGTTTCTTTTGCCATCCATTTCACTCCTTGGCAAAAGAGTAAGCCTTTTTCTCTTTTAACGTATAAAATAACTTCAATTTCTCAGAAGTTACTACTTAGAATTTTTAAGTCCTCTTAATTTATCAACTTATCTCTATCTTTTCTAAGGTAAATTTTTCCTTGTTTTATCTTAATCTTTTTCATATTGCAGTTGTTTTCAAATGTCTTGTGATCCTTGGTTGACATTCATATTTATGAATGAATCAATAATAAGTTGATTGAAAGCTGTGCATATGAAGAAGGGATTTTGGCTTGTCCATTGGCAAGCTTCCATTTAGATTGATCAGATGGGACACTGCCATTTTGCTGGAGATAATGCTAGATTTTGTATGTGCATTTATGTGTAGTCTTTGCTCTAGGATAATAATGCCAACATTAGTCACCCCAAATTACCCCAGAAAGTCCACTCTTCTTTAGAAGAGAATCCTACTTTGTTTTTTTGTTTTTTTTTTTTTGCATAAGAATGAATGTCAGCTTTCAGGGACATTTTGCACAAGACAGTGTGTGAGAAGGCCCCTGTGAAAATCAACTTACATTTTAAGTATAGTCAATTCTTCTTATTCGCTGATTATCTGATTGCAAATTCACCTACTCACTAAAATTTATTTGTAACTCCAAAATCAGTAATAAGGATACTTTCATGGTCATTCACAGAAGTGCACAGAGCTGTGAAAAATTTGAGCCCATCTTCCCAACTAGGGTTGATTGAAGCTGTGCTCTGCATTCTTATTTTGACTTTTATACTGTAAACAACTGTTCTTTTTGCAGTCTATTTAGTGCCATTTTTTTTTTGCATTTTTTGTGCCTTTTGTTGGTGATTTCACTGTTTAAAATGGCCTCCAAGTGTAGTGCTGACGTGCTGTCCAGTGTTCCTAAACACAAGAAGGCTGTGATGTGTCTTACTGAGATAATACCTGTGTTAGAAAAGGTTCATTTGGGCGTGAGTTATAGTGCTGTTGGCCATCAGTTCAGTGTTAATGAATCAACATGCTTTTATTTGAATGTTTGTGTCCTCTCAAGA